CCTTCCAAACGAAAAGGATGTGCGAGGGTCACACAAAAAGCCAGGGGAACTCCTGACCGCCCTCTCGCTCCGTGCAGAGGCTCGGGGGAAGCTCGCACTCGGAGGCTCAAAAAAACACGATAAAAAGGGCACCGAGCCCGTTACGATCCAGGGGATCAAAGGTTGGGCCCCCCAAAGATTTTGACAGCCACCCCAGGACAAATAGGGTCAGGGATGACTGTGGGCAAGCCCGTACATGGCCAATGCCCAAGCAAGCAAGTGCTTGGGAAGCCCTAAGTCATGTCCGAGACCAGCAGGGAGGTCTCCAAATGGGATCCCACCGTAGGGAGGCGCCGAGCCCCCGGGGCCAATCGAACGGCCCTGGGACCCACTAGAGAAGCCCTCTAATACTTTTAGAGTGCGTGTCTGGACCACTAGCCGACCCCTATCGAATGGGGCACGGGCCTCCACTCGAACTGACCCGATAACAGCTCACCAGAGATGTAACTGCTCGCGTCCACCGAGGGTAGCTTGGCATGCTCCATCCCTCCTTCCAAGAGAAAAGGATGCGCGAGGGTCGCCAAAAAAGACGGGGAACCACTTATCGCCCTCTCGCTCAGTGCAGAGGCTCGGGGGCTCTTCCTACAACTAAGCCAAGGTCCAGCGACCTGAATTCACGCTCATGAGCCCGGTAAACGTGATAAAACTCCTTACTCAATAGGGAAAAAGCCCCTGGAGGAGTAAATCCACTCCTCCAGGACCTCGGGGGCTACACCCGGAGGGTGCGCTCGCGCGCACCCACCGGAACCACAAGTACAAAACACAATCCCGACGGGAGCCGCTGCAGGCCAGAATCTCGACAAAACCTTAGGGAGAGTGCTCGCACTCTCCCCGAGGCTCGGGGGCTACTGTCGGATACCATAAAAGGGGTACCCTAAGCAAGAACCGAGAAGATTGCTTAGACCTGGCAAAAATCAAAGCCAAGGGACAACCATGAGGTCTCGGCTGATTCACCGATTCGCCCAAGGCTCATACGCAGAAAGGCCTCGGGCGAAGGCCAACCTCTCGCCTTGCCGAGGCCCTCTCGCCGAGGCCCCGCCCCGCTAGGCCTCGGACGGGTTACCGATTCTCCGATTCGCCCGAGGCCCTGCGCATAAAGCCTCGGACGAAGTACCGATTCTCCGACTCGCTCGAGGCCGGCTCGGTAACAACCTCGTCGCCTCCGTCTCGATCGACTTCTCTGACAAAACGTCATGCATCCAACCACTCCCGCAATAATACCAGACGCCGACGCAGCGGCAGAGAGCGGCCGACGGACGGGAGAGGATCGAGAAAGCAGGGTTACCGCCATCGTGTTTCAAAAGATCGCGCCCATGATCGGCGCCCAGACTACACCGTGCCACCTAATCCTCGCCCGAAGTAAACAAATAACGGCGTGGGGAGTCAGGTCCGGGAAACTATAGCCTCGGAATCAGTATATAGGACCAACTGCTCCCTCTAAGCCTCGGCAACCACTTCAGGGCCTCGACAACCTTAGGATTTGCGCCCGCCCAGCCCCCCACGATGGCTCAGCCTCGGCACCAACTGAGCCTCGGCTCTTTTCACTGGCAACGCACAGCGACTGGCACGACGACGGCCATGCCCTGCGCCAAGCTATCACTAGGGCTCCCACGTCGCACAAGATCGGGTGTGACCGGCGCGTTGCTCCAGTGCATCAAGGACAAGACCACTCCGTTGACCATGCCACCACAGTAGCAAGCTACAGGACTCAGACAAGCCACCTCCGCTTACAAGACGCTGCATAGCAAATGCATGTATCGCCCCTGTCCCCCCTTCAACTATAAAAGGAGAGGCCGGGGCCGTTTCTAGACACGGAAAAAAGAGGAAGTCAGACGAACACTCGCATAGACTCACGTAGATTCAGATACACGCTCCCCTGCTGCCTGAAAGCAACGTCTCAAGCAGCCCGCACCACTCCACGCAGAGACCTGGGGCTAGTTCTCTCTCTCGCCCAGCTTGTAACCCCCTACTACAAGCACTTCGGTGCAAGGAATACAAGATCGATCCCCCAGACTAGACGTAGGGTACCGGTTGCCTGAATCAGTATAAACCTTGTGTCTCTTTGTATCACCATCCGGGATTAGGGGCACACAGTTCAAATTCACTAGTTGGTTGAGGACCCCCCGGTCCGAAACACCGACAGACTTATAATTTGGAACGGAGAGAGTAGTAATCAAACGAGGACGCCTGACGCTCCGGGGACTTCATATCGGACGAGGACACGTGGATTCGGTCTTCGTATCGGAACTGGGTAGGACGCAGATGCGTAAGCGCCGAGTGGAGGATCATTCATATCGAACACGGACGTGTAAGCAGAGAACAAGACTTGATATCACCGAGTAAACGATAATGTTAAAGTCTTTTTAGGTGTACGGAAAGAGGAGGCGTCCACTTTGGGCACCTTAGTAGCCTACATCTTTTGTGCTAACTTGTTTATCTTATACATTATAAAAATAGCATCTTGCTTTCTTTGACTTCCTCCACCCATCTTGCACCACTATGCACTCTGCCTCGCCACCCTTACCTTTGCAAGCAAGTACCTCCCGGACTCATCACCTCCTTCTAATCCACCGCTAGCGCCGAGCAAACACCATCTTGCATCCTTCACAAAAGCGCGTTGTTGCTCTCTCATCGCCTGTCACCACCCGTGGTTGTAGCCTCCCTGATACCTTCCCTTTAGACCGTCTCCAACGGCTTACTTATATGGGTAACCAAACCCAAAATAGGTATTGGATGGTACTTACCTATATGCGAGACGCATTTTGAGTTGCAGCAGACTCACAACCCAAATATGAGTATTCTCTCTCCCGAAGACTTATTTGCAGAAAGGGTTCTCATTTGGGTCCTATTGTGGGAGAAGATGAAATATAGATATTGAACCCTTTACTTGTAGTGTTACCCAAACATGAAATATGTCTTGTATTTTGGGTGATATTGTTGGAGATAGTCTTAGGTCATGTGCAGTGTGTTCTAGGAGTAGCCCTTGAAACAGAGGCAGAAGGTTAGAGCACTGCTCCCTATACTGCAGGTACCGATGCCCAATTGCCCAATGCTAAAAGGTGGGGAGCGGAGCAAGTTCAAGCTCCGGTTCCAACTTAATAAAAAAAGTATATGTTTGCATGAGGCAGAGAGAGAAAAGAGAGACACGCAGTAGTGAGCCCCGGAGAGAAAAGGCTGAACATGCCCATTATCATGCGTGGGACCCATTTAGACTTAGGTCATGTTCGCTTGTCTTATAATCCGTACTTTTCAGTTTGTTTTTTTCAGTCGGAACAGTATTTTTCTCTCACAACAAATCAGCTGAAACAGTGTTTCGGCTTGTTTTTTCAGCGAAGTGAACGAGGCCTTAGCAGTCACAAAAACCTTCTTTCCATGTCCTAACTTAAAATTTAATCATAACACTAGTCTAGAGCTTGTGAAGTTTCAGTTGGAGAGGTCATTAAATTTGGTGGGTCTTGATTTTTTTCTTCACACATCGTCTATCCCTTCCCCTTTTTCGCACCAAACCTAGATATCTCTCGTTGAGCTAAATTGGGAGCTCTTTCAATTTAGAAAATACACTTCGACTGTTGGTGTTTTCTTTGTTGAAGGTACCATATCATATAGAATTACAATATGAACTCACTAGCTAACAAAAGGAGTGCTAACTTCCTTTCCACTTTAGGCTCCGTTCGGTTACCCTGGAACGGGCCGTTCCGCGCGAGGAACGGTTCCAGCATTATAGAGATCAGTGAAGAAACAGTCCGACCGGGAATCAATCCCATACAACCGAACGAGGTCTGATGGGGATGCTTGGCATACTCAATCTCAGGGTTTCCCTAGAATTACTCAGCCTAATTTAGTAATTTCTACAAATTTTTGGAACTGGTTCCATGGGCGCAATATTAAAGGTATTTCATTGAGCATTTTTTGCATTAATTTAGACTAATACACATAAGCCTTAATCATTTTATTGCTATTTTACAAACATCAATCAGGCATAGATTTCAAGGCTACAACATTGTCTAATAGGGCCATATATATATATATATATCTCTTATAAATACCCAAAAAGTTGCAAGAAACGGTGGCTATAGCCTCAAAAGCAATATACAAGTGCCACTGGACGGACACTCTTATATCATGTGTATCAATTCAATTTAGTTACATTAAACATATGCATTTTTATCTACCAGTTTTTTATAAAAAAAATATATATCCGTGGTTTAACAACAATACAAATGGTAGAGTTTCCACATAAATCTCAGAGTATGGTTATAATGAAAGGAGATAAGAGGGGTTGACCGTGTTAGTATCGACAAACTTCTACCACGATTTTCTTACAAATGCTTCTAGATAATTGTCACTTATGATGCATGACATTGCTAAAATAAAAGGATATATGTAAAAATTCACATGGTACAACCTCCAAACGCTGTTAAATGGTTTTCTAGTGTTACACAATCAACCAAATGTGCTGGATACATTCATCATGCTAGTTCGACGTTCCATGGTTGCTAAGTAACTGCGTCGAGGCCATATGTGATACAGTCGTTGATCATATAAAGGTCTGTATGCTTTTGCTTCATTAGCAGTACAACAACTTCGGACGCTCCCTTCTGTTGGAAAACTGGAACGCTCGCTTCTGATGCAGTTCACTGTCACTTACATGGAGATACCACACAACAAAAACTTGCCAAGCTTTATGTTGCCGAAGTCTCAGTATTTTACAGACGAACACAAGAAGATGCAGATCCTCTAACCATCCAGCACTTTCACCATTCAAGGCCCCTTAGGGAGAAAGCACCAACTTGTCTTTTGGGGTGAATAATTCAAGACAAATCTTTCTACAGAATCAGTAAACAAGCTGGGGCTCAAATTCAGCAAAATCAACTGAGCCAGACTCGATGGGGGCATGAGGTATGCAGCGATGATCTCAGACACCAGAGCGGCAATGAGAGGAATCCTCTTCAGGTTCTTCACTAGGGAATGTCATCAGATTCACCGATAGCAATGATCTTCTCGTTGATCACAACCATCCTGTCAAGCTTCCTCTTGAATTCAGGGTTCTCGACATCCGGAACAGCAGGGAAGATCCTCGCTGTTGTGCGGTTGGTCTGCACAGGTATGCACGTTTTTACATTGTCAGTAGCAGCCTTAATTCACACCAACATTTCTAGAAGCAATTCATAGATTCTCCTAAACATCGATGAACTATAACAAGCTTCATGTGTATTCCTAATCTTTTGTAAGGACATTATTGTGATATTCAGCATTGTTCAGAAAAAAGTATGAAATATAGTAAACAGGTGGAAATGAAATGATAAACTCATTTATACCTCAATGATCACATGCATGTCAAATTCTTTGGTGTTCAGACCAATTCCCTCATAGAATGCAGTGCGTTGGCAGTCATTCAGGTACATGGTCACATACACCTGCAAAAGGTCATGTAACACTAACTATGAGGAGAGACAGCCTTTGGAGTTAATCGATCTATATAACAAAAGAAGAGCTTTAAATTACCGAGAGGCAGAAGAATCGTGACCAGAGCTTGGCCTTCCAGTCATTGAGGAACTGCGGCTGAGCCTTGAGCAGGGCAGAGAAGAAGTCACCATGCCTGTTCTCGTCCTGGCACCAGTTCTCGAAGTACTTGAAGATGGGGTACACCTGGTACTCTGGGTTCGCCTTTGAGGTGCCTGAAGATGGTGATGTACCTCCAGTACCCAATCTTCTCAGACAGGTAGGTGGCATAGAAGATGAACTTGGGCTTGAAGAAGGTGTACTTCCTAGCCTTGGTCAAGAACCCCAGGTCCAGTGCCAAGTTGAAGTCAGACAACCCCTTGTTCAAGAACCTAGACAGCGCAAATCACAAGAAACTTTCAGCTGAATTTCTCCATGCCTCCTATAGCCTCAAATTGGACACCATAAGGATAACATGCATGGCTGGATTCTTATGGACAGTTGCTGGAAGCAATCCCCAATGCATTGACCTAACTACTTCATTGGCAATGAGTATTTTGTTAGCTCATGTAACCAGGCTGGTTTAAATTGAGGCAGCAGGAAACTTAGAATACCTACATTCCTTGTCAAATTGAGGTAGCAGCACCAGCATAAGTTTTCATGAGACAGACAGACAGTTGCATTTCCTAATCTTTATAAGTGAAGAATGCATTTTTTGGCCACTAATCGCACGCATTGTTGTGTAGGATGACTGAAAAGAGATAAGGTGCGTACCCAGCATGGCGCGCCTCGTCCCTGGACATGAGCGAGAAGATCTCCGCCACGACCGGGTTGGTTTTCTGCAGAGGAAAAGCAGGGCATCAGCACACGCCCGCCTGGTGGTCGAGGAAATGCACGAGGCGAGACGAGGCAAGCAAAGAAAGAAGCGGGAAGGAACCTTGAGCCTGCGGCCGAGCTCCTTGTAGAGGAGGAATCCGGAGAACTCGGCGGTGCAGGAGCGCTCGAGGAACTCGACAAAGATCTGGCGGAGCGGGCCCTCCATCTTGTCGGCGGCGGCCTTGAACTCGGGGTTGCGCACGAAGTGGGTCTGGTTGTAGTCCGTCTTGAACTCCTGCAGCAGCGCGTCGAACTCCGCCTGGTTGAGCTGCTTGTTAATCTCGGCGTTGAAGAGGCGCTCCATCTCGTCGAAGTCGGTGGTGTAGAAGCGGGGCGTCAGCAGCGTCTCCTGGATCTCCGTCTTGCCCCGCTTCTTGGGGCCCGAGGACTTGGGCGGCGCGGCGGCCGCGGCGGAGGCGGACACGCGGAAGCGGAGCACGGAGCGCCGCGGCGCGAGGGGCAGGCCAGCGGCGGCGAGGCCGCCGCGGTGTCGGTGCGTCGCGGCGGGGTTGAGGAGCGAGAGCTCCATGGCGGAGGAGGCCATTGGTGGCGACGGACGGGACGGGCGGTGTGGCGAGGACTAGGCGGCGGGAGCGAGCTCTAGTTCAGGGAGGAGGCGTATATATGCTCATGCTGCGGCGGCCGCGTGCTGACATGGCAGCGGGGATTGGGATTGCGAGCGGTAGATAAGGTGGCGATGAGGTGTAATCCGGGGCTTCTAATCGCCGCGCGCCATGTGTGAGTGTGAGGGAGCCCAATCTAGCCGCACGCTCTTCGCCGTATCTTTCTCCCTCTCTGATATTTTCCTTTCCTTTCTTCTTTTTCTTATGATGAAATGTTCCAAGCCACATGTTTTGTTGGCGGGAACAAATGGTTGGTTCAGGTTGTTCTTGCAATTCATGAAGCGCGCGCAGCCTTTTTTTTTTTAAGAAAAAGATCAATAATAAGACAGGACAAGGAGTGCATCTACGGTCTCGATATTTCTTTCACGAAGCATGTATGTCCATTTCAAGTTGGACTTTACTCCTAAAGGCTTGTTTGATAAGATAGCGTTAGTTATTACTAAATCCATTCTAAATTATAGTTTGTTTGACTTTTTTTACTTTAATATAAGTTTGACCACTCGTCTTATTTAAAAATTTGTGTAAAATATCACTTCTTTTACTATGACTTACTTTATTAACAAAAATTCTTCAAGAATGAGTTAAATTTGACTATGTTTACATAATTTTTTTGAATAAGACGAATGGTCAAACTTGGATAATAAAATTCAAACAAACTATAATTTAGAACGGATGGAGCAGATGAGACTTCTCCTTAAAAAAAGGTTACTGGATGAGACTAAAAGTTAGTTTAAATTAGCTAAAGTTGATCAGCTAATTGACTAACAATTAGTTAGAGCCTTAAGGCCCTGTTCGCTTCTCTTATAATCCGTACTTTTCAGCTTGTTTTTTCAGCCAGAACAGTGTTTTTCTCTCATAACAAATTAGCCGGAACAATGTTTCGACTTGTTTTTTCAGCGAAGCGAACGGGGCCTTAGAGGGTTGGCTAAAAAAATTAGAGCATTGGCGGCTCTGAAAATCGGCCCAGTTATTAGCGCTGCTGTTTGGATAGGTTAGAATTTAATTTAGCTAAGTTTTAGTTAGCTACCAATTAGCTCTGGATATCCATAGGCCCTAAAAAGAACTGAAACATTCTTAGGCGAAACTACTGCATTTCAAGACAAATTCTAAAGTAGATGCCAGTATCCGTTGGATTTGGATACAAGGAGCACATTAGCTCTCCAATTTATTTTACGAGAAAAGAGTGCTTCAATTAATTAAGGAAAAAGGTAACTATAGTCAGGTTCCAGCAACTTAGTTAGAGCATCTCCGATAGTTCTCAAGAATAATAATTGGTAAATCAGTGAATTTTCCAAGTGACTAAAAAATATTGAGAGCATATTTGTTACGTTCCTCTAGCAGTTTCCAAAATCGCACTCCTAAAATATAGAAGTCAATTTTACAACTGGAATCCCGTCATCCCAAACTATTTATAAATAACCCCAACCACTTTTATAATTTCTTTATCTCTTGTACATTTGTATTGGGGTGTCAAAGTGTTCAGAAATTCTTGTGGATATGCGGATTGTCCACCGCATAATTACAGCTATGATACACCCTTATGGAAATGACCTATCATCTTCGTGTTAATGACATCAACACAGCGCTTGCGAGGTGATGTAGTTTTTGTCTGACATATTTTCATTGAACCTAGGGAATATACAATCAATTAGCACATCAAGATCACTATCATTTCCGATGTGCAATACGCATATATCACGAGGAAGACAGATTTCAACATCACCATTGGCCTCCTCGAGCCTTCACCGCATGCGTAGCAGGTATTCTACAAACCATGGGTCACTCTTTGTCCTCATGTTGCGCACTTTCAAGTATTGTATGGAATTCCAAAGGTATGACATCCTTAGCGAGGCATCGATTATCTAAGCCCTCAACCCCTTTGAAATCAGCTTAAAACCTCCATCAAGACCATAGTCTTCCCACCATACGTGTAAGCAAAGGTCACCGTGAAGACCATAGTTGCCTCTTTGTCACAAATCGCCTCATCCCAAATATTCAGAGATGTATCAATGTAGTTTGACAAGACCACTCTTGTTTTGTGAAGCTAAAAAAGTGTCATCATCGATGGCAAGGGAACCTTGAGCCGAAAGCGCAGCTTCTACCACCGTGCATTATTGAGGCTATGAAACTAGATGTAGATGATGTTAGAACAATCTTGTTCTTGTCACAGATAGTAGTCACGAAAGCAGGGCCCTATACAGATAAGTCTTCTCGGTGTCTCTAGGCCCATCCACAAAGAATGAACCCCAATGTTCGATATTAACAACAGACATAATCTCATCATAGGTAGCCTGCTGCTCCTCATTAAGGGTGTTCAATAAAGCCATGTCATTAGCATTAGCCTCAATTGATAGGTCGAGATGGCAGACAAGAGGGAGGGGGGTGAATAGTCCTTTCTAAAACTATTTGCGTTGGCTAACCGAAACAAATGTGGAATTAAAACTTATTCGTTCTAGCCAAGACTACACCCTCTATCTAAGTTCACAAGCACCTTACAAAGAGATCCTAATTGAGAAACTAAGGTGCCAGGCTAGGTAGAGCTCAACTAAACAATTCTAGTTTGCAAGGTCACACAAACCTATGCAACTAGTACTTAAGTAACCGGAGAGCTCCTACACATGCTAGTATGCAAAGCGCACAAAGCCTAAGCTCACTAGCACTACCGAAAGCCATAGTTTGGTTTTGGATAATTGATAAAACCTAAGTGTACTCTTTAGCTCTAAGTGTATATGAGATAGGTTGGTACACTCCAAGTGGTGGAGCTAGATGATGGCACTCATGGTCATGCAAGTGGCCAAAGATGGATCAAATGCTCCAACTTGGAAAAGAAGAAAGAGAAAAACAAAAATGAGCTTAAGGCAAAGGTGTCGGTGTTTCAAATCATTAGCTAGTAAATTTCTAGTTTGAGTGTCTGACCCGGATGGCTGTGCTCGGAGGACACAAGAATTTATACTGGTTTAGGCGGAACATCCCTACGTCCAGTCTATTGCTGCTCGTATTACTAGCACTTGGTTTGTAGTAGGGGTTACAAACATGCGAGAGAGGGAGAAGGTCCCAAGTCTCTGGTGAAAAGAGTGAGTCTAGTTGAGCTCTCTCTCTACTGTTGAGCGCCTAAGCCTTCAGACATGTTAGATGTGTGGGAATGCCCCTCCCCCCCATGGGGCGCCGTGCTTCCCCTTTTATAGATGAAGGGAAGATACATGTTACATCAAAGAGAGGGAGAGAGAAAGACGAGGAGAGGAAGGCTTCTGGGATTGCGATGTCTTCCATCTCCTTTACGCGGGTCCTACCGGCCCTATAGACAACGATGGGGACGGCTCCATATCATGGCCCTGTTCGTCATTGGTGCCGTATGCAGGCGTCGTCAGCTAGTCATGGCGCTCCATTCTATCCCAGCGGACAGTATGGCTAGCTGAAGCCTCCGCTGGAGGCCGTACGGGAAGTAGGTAGCATAACACCGGCACGCACGATGTTGTTGACGACGTGCGTCCTCAGACGTGGCCCGACGTGGCCATGGGTCATGTCAAGACTCGCCTGCTCCCTTCTGGCGTCTAAAATTTGACCCTAGACTCGTACTTTTAGACCCATAGTGGTTGGGGCGGTATGAACCTCTATCGGGCAAGGCAGAGCCCATGCCTGAGGGGTTGAGTGAGGCGGAGCCTGCACCCTCAGGGTCGGGCGAGGGGAAGCCCGCGCCCTCAGGGTCGAGCGAGGCGAAGCCTGCGCCCTCGGGGTCGGGCGAGTCAGACCCCTCACCCTCGGGATCGGGCGAGGTGGACCCCTCGCCCTCAGGGTCAGATGTGATGGAGCTCTCGCCTGAGGGGTCAGGCGAGACGAAGCCCACGCCCTTGAGGTCAGGGTGACCCGGGTCCTGTGTCGTTGAGGTCGGGTGAGACATTGCCTGTGCCCTCAGGACCAGGCAAGACCAAGATACACTCTTGACCATTGGAGGGAGTTAGCGTTCGCGACCATTAGCTTCCTTCTTCTGGGTATCCCTGATACTGATACCCGACAGTAGCCCCCGAGCCTACGGAGGAGTAGGATACTCCTTCAAAGGCTTTTTCAGGCGGAAGGATTCTGAGGATCTTGATCTCCCTTTGTGAGCCGCGGGATGTCTTGGTATGGTTGAGATTCCTTTTTGTCATGTTCGGACTCCTTAGAAGCATGTAGCTGCAGGATTTAGGGAGTAAGAAAAGATCTCTCTTGATTTCGATTCCTTCCTAGGATCCGATCGATCCGCTATTGATATGCAACCATGTATTCGGTCTCCTTGCGAGTCCAACTCTCGAGCCCCTGTGCGTAGCAAGGGTCCGATCGAGGGGTTAGATCGTCTTGTAATCATCCTCCCTCACACATTTTTTTTGATAAAACGGAGGGGCTGAGCCATGCCATGTTTTCCTCGATGGAAGAATCATGGTGCTCAGTGAGCTGTTAACAGGCTAGTCCGAGTGGGGCCCCGGCTTCTTGTTCATGGGGGTCCAGCATGGGTCAGCTGGTGACCGACTCTAGATTCCTGGCGGCTAGTCCATATAGTTCTTGGGCCCATTCGACCGGTCCCAAGGGCTCGTTGCCTTTCTTCGAGGAAAAACCATGGACTGTGCACCAGCCAAGACTCGAACATGGGTCAGGATGCTCGTGGCACTCGTGCACCCTGGTACTGGCCGCTACCTGGCCCATCCCTTTCCATCCCTCACTCTAAAGGTGCCCTGAAGCTGCTGTGAACCCGTCGGTGGGCCAGCCTTCAAACCCCTAGGCTTTAATGGGCCATGGAAGCATTTTTAGCTCTGTATCCCTTCTTACCTATGGCGGTTCTCGGCCCATCAAATGGAGCAAACCGTCATCCGGCATGTTCTTCGAGGGAGCGGCCATAGGTGGCGTGCACACGATTTTTGGAGAGGCAAAGTGATGGGACATGGCAGGC